TGAGGCTTGCCTTGGGTCCCAACGTGGGCTTTGATTGGCTCTGCTGCGGGCTAATTACTAACCTTAACATAGCGGCATTGTTCTTGGCGTCCTTAGGATTGTTTAAAAGGGTAATCAGTGTTTATTTTCATGAAATTTGCCGTCATGCAAGAAGTCTCCAAGGCTGTCCACTGAACACAAATCAAAATACAGCTACCTGCTTATCAGGAGTGATTAATGGATTTTAACAACTAAATAAATATTTTGTTATTCTAGTATCATAGCATATAGCTTTTGCCCACGTGAAGGTTGCAGGTGTAATGTGTGCAAGTTATCATTAGCTAGCATAATTTGAAAGGTCAGCTTCATTTATCAAGGTGTGTTGAATTTGCAGATTTCCTTTTTAAACCTCATATGCAAATCAAGTCTGTATTTAACCGAATGTGTGACGACTTGAAATATAACACCACGCTACATTATAAACACATATTATACATTTAACTGTAATTATATTGGAGAATTTTATGTGTAGAACGAGACTGATGTAACTGTGCCACGACAAAGTCTCCTGAAATTGCCAAAAAGTAAAAAAAATAAATAAAAAAAATCTATGGAAATGCTATACTAATTTAGCAAAACAATAAAATAATGAAACAGACTGTGATGTATAAATATTCCTAGTGTTATTTATGCACATGTTACTGCTCTCTTTTTTAAATCAGGGTGCTGGTATCATTTACATTACGTTATAATGTATAGAGTTTTTTGGAAATAACAGGCTAGTGCAGAGATGCTAATGGTCTGACTAAAGATATATCATTTCAGCCACAGTGTCCACATGGTGTCTGAATTCTTACTTATAAGAATATTGCCTGTACCATTAGATTTAGTAAAGCAGTAACATACTGTATTTGGAGAAATGCATTGTGAAATCTTCATTTAGTATCTTTATTGTTGTATTCCTTCACAGGTTTGTCAAGCCTGTTTTGAAATGAAACCTTTGTAATTACCTCAAAATCACCCTCAGTCTGCTGATATATGACAAAACTTAGATATTAACTTAGCCAGCATCAGATTATGGCTTTTGAGACATGACTAATTGAGGTTCAGACACCAAAATTGGTAGGAATGAAACATACCTCTCATATAGGATTCTCCATACCACATGCATCAGCAACCGGCAATGACATTCGTGTTTTAGCATTTGGTATTTGAAAGAGTGTTTTTTTATTTTATTTAGTGAATTAAAGATTCTTTTGCTAACCAGTCAACATTCACTGGAAAAAAACATTTTGCCAAAACCAAAATAGCAAACTGGGAGGTGAATTTTCAATATAGTTAATATCCCCACTTAAATACAAACTAAAACCAGTTCTTAAGCTTGTTGTGATTTTCACAATGGAATGGAGTGTCCAAAGAATATGATGTATTGTGATTGAGGAAATTGTGGCACATTGGGGAAATACAGAACTGGAACAAAGCCCCACTTGAAAATAAAGTAATAATAATAATAATAATAATTTTGTACTGCAATGCAGTAAAAGTATAATGTGAAGTGTTTTATAGGCATTAATTGAAGGGTGTTATTTTCCACATTGGGTGAATGTAGAAGATGCCAAGAAGATTAAGATACTATATCATTTAATGACTCATCTGCCTTTAACATGGAATCTGATGCATTTTATTTTATACTTACTCTTTGAAAGACATAGCTTAAAATGACATATTTGGGTACCAAGGCAAAAACAGGTTGGAATAAAAAATCAGGTGGTAATCTAATAGGTGAAAATATGATGGAAGTTCTTGGAATTCAATCTCTGAACCACGCTGAAATGTTTAAGCATTAAATACCCTCCTCTAAGTTAATTTGGTTTTAGTTTATCTTTAACGATTTGAATTTGAGGTGAATTCTCACTGATCTTTTTTCCTGGAATAGCTAAACAGTTTTGTGATAATGGATTTGATTTCAGCATTCCAGTACCTCCTTAATGCTTTTACCATGTTTTTCTGTGATGACTGACATGCCTCAGGCGTTTTTTTGGGTTTTTTGGGATCTAAACTTTATTGTTATTCTGGAAATAGCGATCAGTGTCTACACATATTTATTACTGGCATCTTAGTATGCAAAAGTCTGTGAGATGTAAAATTTAGGTTGTGTTTTTACTGCACTATTTGCAATACTAGGCATTATTTTTAGTATTTTCTTCATATCTGCACTGCCGTTTTCCCATGAGAGGTATAGTTTTGACATGTTAGCGTGCAATAAGCCCTGCCAGAAAACTTGATGACTGTATTGGAGCAGGTGTGATTTTTTTTTTTACATTTCCTACCAGTCAGTGTGCTCTGTCATCCTGAATCTTCCAGGTGTTCTGAAGGATTACCTGCGGGAGTTACCATACCCCTTGATATCCAAGAATTTGTATGAAGCTGTTCTCGACTCTATGGCTAAGAGGCCCCTGCGGATCGGTGCCAATGGGAACGAGAATGACCACTCAGACTCTGAGCACACTGTCGGTCTCCTGGAAATCCTGCCTGAAGTCGAGAAGGTAAGTGACATGACAAAGGAGGCAATAGTGGTTGGCGTGAGCGGTGTAATTCATACATAAATTTATGTTATCATTTATGTGTTTGTTGAGATATTTGCCTTGGGCATTTCCCTGGATTATATTGTTTGAGGAATCCTATTACAAATGTAAACATGTGATTGCTTTGGTAGTGGAGCACTTTCAAATGATTTCGATTGTGTCTCTCGTCAATGGCAGGCTACCTTACGGAGGTTGCTTGACCATTTGAAGCTGGTGGCCTCTCACCACGAGGTGAACAAAATGACCTGCCAGAATCTGGCCGTGTGCTTCGGCCCGGTGCTACTCAGCCAGAGGCAAGAGGCATCCAGCCATAGCAAACGGGTTTTCATTGACTCGGAGGAGCTGGCCAGTGCCTTGCACTTCAAGAAGCACATCGAGGTGCTGCATTACCTCCTGCAGCTATGGCCAGGTACTGTACACCGTATGGCTCGCACCTGTTTGCCGTTCGTTGTTTTCTTATTCCGTTATTTGTGAGGCATTATTCTTAGCTACCTATAGAAGAGCTTAAGTACCCCAGTTTGTTACACAGACATTAGAAAAGTGACTTTTTCAGGTTGTTAAATATGGCTGTTTTGTTTACTTGGCAGTCGATGTCTTTGGCTTTGTACTCAAGTTTACACTCAGGAGGTGCAGAGATGTTATGTTATCAGAGTAAATCTTACATGGCTTTGATTTCTCAGGATTGTTGGCCGGTATTGCAAGAATATGTTTGCTGCTGAATATTATATCAGATATTAAATGACCCATGAAAAGCTTCCTTAAGAGTAAGAAGCCAAACAAAAGGCATGTTTATGGAGAGGAGCCAGCTAATGAATATATGTGGAATTCAAACGTTCATGTTTATGCAGATTTTCATGTAAGGAAACACTTCTCCTATGACCTGTAAGTGAAAATCTGTTAAATAATACACAGATATGCTTGATTCTAGCTAGGTTCTTTAAGAAAAGTTGTTTTCATGGACATTTCATATCACCAGTTTGTGGATTTTTTGGAAGACTATTAAGTACTGATGGGGACAAGACTACCTATATCGAGTCCAATTCAAGACCAAGACCTTGATGGACCATCAGTCCATAACGTTGCCAACTTTGGTCAGCTAACTGGAGTGAGATTTTCAATTTGAGACAAGTCTGCACACACATGCACATGCATTTAAATGTATGTAAGAGTTTTATTACCTTGTAAATAGTCTGTAGGGTTTGGAAACTACCCCAACGCTTTTGATGTAGCTAATTTTAGGTTTGTAATGGAATAATATAGATTTGCCATAAGATTTCTTGCATGAGCGTGAGAGTCTGAAAGCCTGAGTGTCACGCCAGATGCGTGACAGCTGGCAATCCTGAGTACTAGGCAAGACCAGGACTTTGAGGGGGGTTGAGACCGAGTCAAGACAAGTAGAAATGCTTTCAATTCCAAGACAAGACTGAGGAAGTGAAAAAGTGGTCTTAAGACTAGGACCAGACTTGAGTACTACAACACTGACATTAAGGATGACATTCTGGACAGCGTTAGTACTCGCTCATATGTCTGTAGTTTGGTAATACTAATACATTGCTGTGTGGTTTTGTTGGCTATCTAACATTTTTATCTAAAATAACCCACAGTATTTTATCAGTCTTGTTCTCTTGGATAATTTAGTGGAGCAGTTCAGGCTTTCTTTGGAGTACAACACAGAGTACGTTCAGGCACTTTAACAGGCAGCCTTTAGATCACAGGTCCTTACCCATCATGTTGAGCCTTTAATATGGATCAAAGCTTAACCCAGCATTTTCATCCCTCCCCTCTTCAAGTTAAATTAATTTTCACCGTCCTTAATTAAACCCATTCCTCATGTCAGCCTCAAGTCTCCTAGCACAGAGTCAAAGTCATACATACTTGGAGTCATTATGTTATAAGTCCAGATATTCCGGTCATAATTTGTGTGATCTTTGGCCTGCTTGAGTGAGGTGCTGTTTGGCAGTATGTTATGAGACAGAGAGGCAGGTGTTTAGGGAAAGGTGACGGAGTGGTGCAGTAGAGAAGAAAGAGGGTCAGGAAGGGAGATGGTAGTTAACGGCTGTTATATTTAGCTGGTCAGGGATTCTGCAGTAACACCAGCCAGAAAAGCAAACTGCCAACATTCTTTTCTAAAGTGAAGAGATCCTGTGGAAGCTCATGGCTTTTGCTGTATCTCGGGCTGCAGAAGCCTGCAAAGGATGTTTAATGTTTCCCATTTTTTACAACCTCTTGAAATAGATTTCTGGATTTTGCGGCTTTGGATCTAGGATGAAAAACTACTCCATGCCCTCCAAAACAGTTACTTGAACATTTAATATTTTAAAAGAGGTGGGTTTAAGCTATAAATCCACACTTGCCACAGCTTATGTTGGTAGTTGGTTTTAACTGGTTTTAGCAGGTCTAATATGGTCTAAGATGGTCTTTGATGGTCATGTCCCAGCTCTTTCATGGTTTATCTGGGTGGGTCACCAGCTGGCGTTGTTAGCTAAACCATCAAATCATGCAAAAACATACCTTAAGCAGGTCAGCTATTAAAAATTGGTCAACCAGCTTAAGCTGGTCAAGGTAGTTTTTTCAGCAGGGTAATATTCCTGCTGTTTTCTTTACTATACTATACTGTACTATACTATACTATACTATGTTGTGCTGTGCTGTTCTATGTTGTACTATACTGTGCTATACTACACTACAGTGTCAACCCAGCCCTTGGGGACCCCCAGACAGTCCACATTTTTGTGTTGAGAAACACTTATGCTATGCTATGATATACTACACTATGCTATGCTGTACTATACTGCACTGTACTGTACTATGCTATACTATACTATGCTATACTATAAAGTTAATTTTATGCTACTCCATTGATCTCAGAAGGGTGGAAGTAATGGAATTTTTGTTTTTCACCTTTTGTCTGATTACTTTGTGTGATTTTGCTGCTTTTGGGTTAACGTAAGGCTGAATTTTCCATTTTATTTATGAACTGTACGATCTGGGAGGGGTGGGATGCACACTGTGGCCTGACCCACAAATCGCATTTCTGCTCTGTGTGTTTGCATGCTCTCCCCGGGTCGCACGGCCTTGCTCTGTGTACTCCATTTCCCTCCCACGGTTCAAAGAGCCCCGCAAAGGACTGGCGTCTTGCCCTAGGGTGTACCCCAGCCTTGTGCTTTATTACATCTGGGATATGCTCCAACAACATCCCCTCCCCCCCACATGACCTTGGCCTGGATAAGTCCTTAGAAGATATTTGTACCACAAAGAGGTTATTATTGGCACAATATATCCCATAAATAAGTGTTCCTCAAACCAGTCCTCTGGGATCCCCAGACAGTCCAGAGCAAAAATGTAGACCTGGGGTCTTGGGGTCCCCAAGGACTGGTTTGAGAAACTGCTATAAATGACCAAAGTGGGTTAACTCCACCAAATTGTTTAATTTCTTAAACATTATCCAAAATCAACCATATAGGTAAGGGCTTTAATATCTGACATTCTCTAGCATTGCATGGTTTCTCTTAACTGTGTCTCCCATCTAAAGTGCGTGAAGAAACACTTAGTCTGTTCCTTCCTTGTTCTGTTCCTCAGTCATAGACTCCCAAAGCGCAGCGGCCTCTCCGGTGAAGGAGCCCCCAGCCGAGGTGGCTGTTGCCCCCCAGTACTTGCGCAGGCGCAGGGAGCGTCCACAGGTGCTGAACGTGAGCGAGGAGGAGATTGCAGGCGTGCTCCGGCCGAAACCTGGCCGCTTGGACAGTCCCAGCAACCGCTACGCGGGGGACTGGAGCCGCTGTGGAGAGAGCTACCTGCAGCCACTGAAAGCGCCGGTCAGCGAGGACGTCGACTATGACGACGTGCCGTCGGAGGATGTGCAGGACACAGGCGATCTGCAAGAGAAGCCAGAACAGGCGCCTCCAGCAGAAGAGGAGAAGGGCGGACGTCAGGGTGAAGAACAGGGCGAGGAGAGCAGCTCAGTGGACGTCCGAGCGCACGTTCCTACCGGTCCCGTTTTTACAACCCAGCAGCACCTAGTCAACGAGCACAGGTACCAGGCGTTTGTGAAGATCCAGAACTTTACCCCAGTCCTAAGTAACAGGGTCAACCTCAAGGATCTGCAGGAGAGCATCGACACCCTTATCGGCAACTTGGAGAGGGAACTGAACAAAAACAGAATAAGTGTTGGCTAGCAACGATGCTAACCAGCAAACCATGCATCAGAATTGCAAGTTAATGGCTCAGGGCTGGCCATGACAGTGTTCTAAACTTCAGAACAAGGGTGTATCTGGAAGTTCCCTTGTTCTGTAGAGCATTCATCCTTTGTGGTTTTCGTCATCTGTTACGGGCACCCTGCAGTGCTTTCTTTTTAACATTGCAACTGCTCCTCTTCATCTTCTTCTTATTAGAAGAATTCATTAACCCTATGGGGTATTAAAGGTGCCTTCATTGTTAAAGGTTGTACAGACTGAGACATTTTTTTTTAAAAGATGTACAGTTTAACGTAAACTGATGCACTTAAAAAGCAGACTTTGGGAGAGCATGTTTAGATGTAGTGGTCTTGAAATATTGTACAGGATAATGAACCTTTAGCACTAGATTTTGGAGCTCAGCAAATGACAGATACTAGGGTACTAGGGTAAATTAGTAAGTGTCCACTAGGTGTTCATAGATGCTATTCTGTTTTAAAAGCTAAAGATGTATATTCTACGATAAAATGTTTCTTTATATTACTGTACAAAATATAGTTTTGTACTTTTTTTAACTGTATATTTTTGATATATCACAAAATATCAGAGCAAAATACTGTTTCTAAAAAATTAGTTCACATTTCGTACAGAAAATTATTTTGATAAAGACCTCATTTATAACAGCTATAATAGTAAGTTTGGTACCTAATGAATGAAAGTCATCCAGGGATAAAGAATTATCAGTATTTTTCATAAAGAGACATGCATACATCTGGGATGTACATTATTTAACGTTATTACCATAATATAATTTCTATCATTGGAATGTTTATATATATTGCTTAATAAAAAATATGCCCCTTTGTTTTACTACATCGGAAAAAGAAATTTGTACAGTCTAACATAAGCCTGAACAGTAATGAGGGTTATTTCATGTATATAAAAAAAATATATCCTGAAGGGACATCTTTTTTGCATAAATTGAGGCAAATCAGACAGTTTCACATGATGTCACATGTGTGTTCTGGAATAGGGTTAACTTTGAAATAGATGTGTATTACGTATATTCATGTAAAGTAATTGGCAGCTTTATTTTAATATTCGTTCACAATATCTTCCATCTTATCTTATAGATCCTGAACGTGTAAGAGCACATTTCCGATACGCCGAAACTAAATACGTTATGCATATTTGTTGTGGGGTATGCTGCGCTCACACCTGTATGGCTGGACTTTTGCAGGTTTACTCCAGGTACTCTGCCTTTTTCCCACAGTACAAAGACATGATGATAGGTGACTTGGTGTCTTTAAATTGCCTGTACTGCCTGTGGCCTTTTATGGATTGCATCCCATCTAGGAAGACCTGTGCTCTGAGTCAGAACCCAGGCTCTGACCCTGTACTGGACTTAAAGTCATAAAAGTCATGGATATTTATACTAGGACTACTGGTATTCCTGGGCTGTGTCAGGTGATCCCCTGGAAATAGTCCTGATGTATAAGTGCTGTTTGGTTCTTCTGGTGTAGAGGAGTTCACAAGGAGAACTTCCATCTGCAATGTGCTTATCTGTAGCAAGCAGGCCGCAAGATATTCAAAGCCATGCGTCAGGAGGAAGCTTCTCCTAGCCGTAGCGCATGATTAAGAGCCCCTAACCTGTAACTTAACTTCAGTAAGAGAAGCACCATCACTCTGTTGTGGGTTCCAGCTCAGATTCTGCATTGTGTGGGTGGAAGGTTTCCCAGTAAATCTACATCACCGGCCATTTGAATAAATGTATGAGTAAAGGTCATCATGTATTCAACCATACATATATCATCTTACTCTTGTAAGAGTCAAAAACTCTAATTGAGTCAGCAGTGAGATTAGAAGTTAAACCTTATTCGTGTATGGATTTTTAAAAAGACATTATAGCATTTCAAATTCGTTATCCTATTGACGGGTAATTTTGGTAACGTTGAGTTTTTTTTTTCTTCAGAATTTACATGTATTTCTTAAATGGAATTTTGACAGTGCATGAGTGCAGCCTGTTAGACCGATGTCTAATCCAGCTTGTACCCTGCTTTCAATTTATGCTTCTCCATGATGGATTGCTGTACCCCCATTTTGGATAAGCATACAAACTGTGTTAAATGGCTAAAATTTTGGTATTTGAAGTTAAAAGTACATTCCATAAATATGTGTATGTATTTGTATGCCTTTGCAGTATGTTACTGTTTCTTTGACAATTTCAATGTATGTGTATTTAAAGCTTATTAATTACCTTGTAGTATCACTATAAGTAACAGTCTTTCTTATAATATATTGCTTGTATAAAGATGTAATATGTTTTGAAGTTATATATTGGGACTAATGAAACATTTCTAGTTGCAAAACATAATTACATATGGATGCGTACAGATGTTACTATTTTTATTATGTTTTATATGTTTATATATTTTAATCACTGTTGGTACGAAGTGGGAATTTGTGTATTATAATAATATTTCATGATCAAAAACCTTTCATCCAAAATGGATCATTTTCATCCTCTGCTGCCCAGTGTGTGTGTGTAGATGTATATGTTATTTTAATTACCTCAGCAGCTTCTCACAAATATGTTCAGTTTACATCAGCGTATGGATTCATATTTCAGACACATTAACAGCTCTTAATGTCATGAACAAATGAAGCGAACGTCTGAGTGCATTTCCCTCTCCACAGTGTCTAAAATGTGAGCCGGTTCCACTTCTTACACAAGATCCTTAGCAACTAGTTGTGAAAAAGCTTTTGCATTTATGTATTTTTAATTAGCATGCATTTATTCATGCATGTACTGTTCCAAAATTATTTTATGTTTTTAAGATTTGAAAAGACCTAAATTTATGTCATTTTGGACAAATTGAGACATTTCTTTGGAGAGAAAAGTAAATTAAAATGGGGGCATATATGCATTTTGCAAAGTTATTTTTTGTACATACATTTTTTTGTACATACATTGATTCTCTACAGTATTAACATTTTCGATACTCCTCTCTTCTATCTGACGATGTCACATCGCGATATGTGAAATATCCACGAGTAATATCACTTTATTTATAAAACAAGATTAAATGACCAAAAATAAAATAGCCAAATAGAACATATCTACCAAAAGAGTGTGTCAAATAAGTTGGTGGTGTTGCAGCATGTTGTGTCAACAGACCCAAAGTGGTGCCGAGAAAGACATTGCTATTATTGCGCACGCGCACGTCACCATGACGACGCTAGAATTATATATTGTGCAGCCCTGTATGTAACAACTGAATTCATCAGTTCTTTTGCCACGATAAACTGGGGGAGGATGGAATACATATGATTGTGACAATCAGACCGACCTCTATTGGCAAAATCTAACGAGGGAGTGCCTGAGGGGGTAGGGGGAGGCTTAAAAAAAATATCTAAAGATCTGGTTTGATAGACCAGTGTTTCCCAAACTGGTCCTCAAGGACCTCCAGGCTGTCCACCTTTCTGCACCCTCCCAGCCCCCAGAGGACCGGACTGGGAAAAACTGTAACAGATAATCAAAACTCTATACATGACCTTGGAATAAATTATGGTTTGACTGAGGTTATTTTGGCGTGTTAGTGGGGATCAACTCGGGCAATGTTTGTTTTTGAGGAAGCTAGATTAATAAAATAAATGCCTTTCACTTGATATGACAATCTGTTGTGTTCCACTGAACCCAGATAAGAACTTTTGTTCTTATCTGAGTGCAGTTTATTACCATAAAATATCCTTCAGAGCTACCTATTTGTCAGAAAGATGATTCTTTTAAGCAGCAGTTAGCAGCGTAAGGCTAAAGGGATGCAGCTTTGTGGATTACTACTGATAAACCAAAACTATGGCCACCTGCAAAACACTACCTGTCACTTGCAGCTAGAAGAAAATATTGTTTATGTACTTGAATATATTCTGAAATTTTCATTAAAAAAATACACCTAAGCTTTGAAACATCCGTCATCTTTTAATGATTATCACCTAAATTTAGGTTGGTGCAGTTTATGAATTTATGACTGTTAATGGAAAAAAAGGCTCTGTTTAATATCTGGGAACGGAAAGTCTTTCTCAGAAGACATTCCAGTGCCTCTGATATCCTTCAGTAGCAGGTCTGCTAATAATGCATGAAAAAACCCCAAAGGCTTTTGATGTTTCCCCCCCACCCTTCGCGTTGCTGGGTCCTGGGCTGCACTTGGCAGCTCTTCTGAAACCCCGCGAAGCTGATCTGTTACTAAACGCTGACAGACATTCCCGCTGACAGAATATGAAAATAGAACAGTGCTTCCTGATATAATATTTAGGGTCTCACATGGTGCCACCCATGGCAATTTCTGAGTGGCCACAACTTACCGAATAAACGGTATCTCACTGTATTTTATTTTCACTGTAATTCTTTACAAGGATAAAATCTCTGCTTGTTTAACATTATAGAGTTTGGTAGCTTTTACTGCAGTCTCCAGTTATGTACATTTTAGAAACACTGAATTTACGCAAATGGTTACTTTTTAATGTTACTTTTTAATGTTGACTACTGTTGTTTATTTACTCTTATACATACCATATATTTAGTATATATATATATATATATATATATATGTGTGTGTGCGTGTGTGTGTGTGTGTGTAAGACACTGAAACTTCATTACTTAAATTAATGTGTTCTTTTGCTTGTGAGTTAGTTATGAAATCAATGAATTTTAGGAACAAAATTAAATTTGTGTATTAAATTATTAAGCACTTTTTACTATTATAGGTGTACAATAATAGTATGCAACTATTATAGGTATGCTATAACAATTGAATACGATAATAACATTGAGTTTATCGTGATTTTCATTCAGTGATCTCAAGATGTGGAAGACAGACGTGAGTATGGCTCTTCTGCTTCCTGGAAATGGTCCCTCATAAGCTAGATCACCTATGTGCCAAACGAGGCAATCGTGTCAGCAGCTTCCAAACGACAACCAAAAGCGGAGGTCAGGGCACTGCTAGGATTCTAAAAATAATCTGGGTGAGCCTGAGAAGAAAAGGTGTCTGCCAGACTTCATGTTTACGGTGGAGGAGCAAACAATTTCTCAGCTTTTTAAAATGACAAATCCATAGCTCTGGAAAATTTGCAACAAAAAAAAAGTTATTGAAAAATTAGTGAAAAAAAAATCGAAAATTACTCATCTGCTGTATAATTTTTGCCTGAACATCTTTGTCCTGCCTTACAAAAAGCCTTTTCATTAGTCACACCTAGCATATGTTAGTCCTGAAATGTACAATAAATAACCAGTTGGTATCACCGAATAGTGCAGGTCTACATTTCAGAAATGCGCGGCATGCCGTCTTGAATAAACAGGGATCCAACTGCGCACACTAGACCCTTATCATTTATAAAACAGCTGCCCAAGGATTTTCTCAATGAACAAAGAGATCCGTTTTTATTTTGGAAAAACCATTTGGACTTATATGAAGACATCAACAACATCCACGTTTTGTCCCACACAAAGACAGTTACTGAAGAGTCTATTTTTATGGGTTTGCCATAGTAGAAAGTACACCAAGTAGCTTGAACCAATCCCAGCACTCAGACAGAGGCCTTGGCATGTCAGATCAGAAACTGACCAGATCCATGCAGGCCAGTTATTTTCTACAGATCTTACCTCACTGTCATGGCCAGTGCCAAATGGACATCTGTATTTTTGTCTTAGTCAAAGAGTGAAGTCACCTTTATTGTGTTTAGTTTTCCTACACTAAATTTCCGTTCCAGATCATTCAGTTGCTTATATGACACATATATCAGGGAGCGAAACTTAGCAACAGACAGCTGTGTAATGAGGGATTCCTCCCTTTGATAATGTCAATCACCTGCTACCGACGGCTAATGAAGCACTATGTACCCCCCCGTTTACGTGGAATATACCCCAAAGACAAGACACATCCCCCACACTTCCAATTATTAAAAGTACTCAAAGTAACATGTACTAGATTTAAATAAACAAAATTTGAAGTTGTATGCAGGTATCTAAATAAAATAACGAAAATAAATCAAACAATAAAATCTATTGGGAAATCTAAAAATTAATTTCTTTTGTTACATTTAAAATGTCAAACTGTTTCAAATTTTGCCCATGTTTTTGCCACAGTCATCATAACACTGCTTCTCAAAAAACATGCACTTGCCAAAAAGACCAAATATGTCAATTTATACAACGTTCTCATACCATCCATCCATATTGTGACTGCTTATCCAGGTCACAGTTACAGGAAGCCTATTCCAGACAGCAAAAGGCACAAAGCTGGAGTACATGCTGGACGAGAGGCCAGCTAAGTTATATATGTACATGAAAACTGTTCTGCTTTTGTAAAACAATGTAGCATTAAAAATAGTGGACATTACATACTGCAATTTATTACAGACAACTGAATGAAAAAATGGTTGCATTTTACTGCATTATAGATGCTCAGTATAAGAATTAATAAAGCATTACAGCATCTTCTATTGGCAGTCATAAGACATTATAGTGCTGATTATAATACTTCATAAGCTCCAATGAAGCTCTCATCTATAAGATGGTCAGAATAAGAATTAAGGATATTTTGTATTGCATGACGAAGGTATTTGTAGTACATTATAGATAAGAACTTCATAAGGTAGTCATAATGCATAAATAACATGGCTATAATGTTTTACGCCTTTTTTATAAATATTCATAACCATGTTTATAATGCTTTATGAAAGCGTTATAATGTGTTTTGAACGTATTCTTACAGACATGGCATTCATAGAAAGTGTTACTGAAAAAACAACACAGAAACAATGTATTAGTTCCTCTGACATAAAATAGGAGCATTATTTAAGTATGTGTCATATATCAATTAAGGGCTGGTTCCTCATCTGACAGAAGACCCATGTTCTTCAGAATCACCTTCTCCATAGCAAGGTACGTCTTATAGTGCACCAGGTTCTCCTCTTCAATCTGCTCCTCCAGCTTCTCAGGCATTTTTGGTTCCTGTTCATGGGGGAAAAGACACCACTGGGGTCACAAAAATCATAGAGCCATATATTCAGTTCTCTGACAAAAAGACTTGCTTTATCAAACCTTACACAATATTTAGAACTGGATGCCTGTTGTGTCTAACCATGGTGATTTTTAACCTACGAATATGGAAAGCTGAGGGACACATCTTTGTAAACAGTAATTAGTCATGATGGTTTCACATTCTTGAAGCGGCTTAGATTTGTTAAACCATGTGATGCAGGTTTACTGGAGAATGATGACAGGAAGGAGAATGACAATTTAAATGTAACTGCTTTACAGAGACAAAAATACAGTTACACGGAAGTATTAAATCAAGTTAACATTTCCTACCATTGACGCATGACGCTAGGATACTATTATTTAGGTGTTAAAAGCTTTAATGTTATTTAGTCACTAAATGAAAATGACAGAGTATATGAGTCATTGTAAAGGATACTGGAAAAATGGTTATGCATAACCAAACTGATTAAGGCCTTAACCATGTTTTACCATTTTTTTCTTTTGCTCCTCTGCTTCCTTGTCTTTCTTCTCCTTCGCTCTCATCTCCTTTCGTTTATTCAAAAAGATTAAGCGGTCCACTTCTTTCTCAAAATACTTGGCCATATTGGATTTCTGAGGAGAACATGATAATTATACTGTTTAAATAGTATAATGTTAAAAAGGACTCAATAAATGCTCTTTTACAATGTGGCCTTTAAGAAGCTTTATCCACAGAAAACAGATTTTACTGAGATCACCCTATTAATTTTGGGAGCCCATGTTTCTGTCTGCTTTTACATAGGATGCCAGCAATGTACGGGATTGCATTCTAGCTAATTAAAAGTTTTTTTGATGCCCAAAATACCAAAAAGTGACAGTGATTTGTAGTATTCTTTGTATCGATGTCAGATACCCATGACCTGTTTCTCAAAAAATAAACATGATTAGAAGAACAGGAAAAAAGCATTCTGTGGATAAAGCCTAAATACAAATGTGCAGGTCTGAGACAATTTTCTTTTACCTTCGACTATTAAAGAAAAATGCTATTTTTTTCACCCCCCTTAGGTATAACTGTACTTTCTGAATAAACTGTTTTACAAGGTCAAATTTTCAGAAAATACGCTTTTATGGAATAAGTGTATGACTAAATATTTGCTGGTATGCAAGGCTACAAACCTCATTGTATGACGGACTACGTAGAGACCAGGGAACCTCCAGAATATGGAGAGTGCCAGAGTGATCAGACACAGCTAAAAAGTGCTGCTTTGCTTAAAAAAAAGAAACACAGATCATCTTCAGTGAATTTCCATACATAACAGTCCATTGGCATGCGTTTCGGGAAATGTGACTCACGGGGTACGATCCAGGGCTTTATGCAGGTAATCTGCGTGGTGCTGAGATTTTGGGTTTGGGATGCTTCATGGGTCTTTTCCAGCAAGTCCCACACCTCGACGTTCCCGTCCTCTTTTCCAATGAAGAACAGTCCTGGTCTTGACGGAGACCAGTAACCTACTGTGCATTTCTTTGGAGAGCAGGACGAATGAATAATAGGCCCATTCTGAAACACAATCGCCAAGCTCAGGGACCATGTAACAATGGCTCTCTCTCGCGAACTCTGCAAACACAGTGTCTCTAAACTGAGATCCAAGACAGTTTGAAGAGAGACAAAAAAACATATGAAGCTATTCCATTTAAATATTAAGACAGGCCCTGCATTTGCAGAAAGGAGTAATATTAACTATTGTACTTCAAAGAAAAACACTTTAGCTAGTGATCCCTCTATGTGATAGTGTTCGGGATTGCTGCTGTATGGAGCAGGAACACTTGAAATAATTATATCAACAAGCAAATGTTACTTTGAATCATTAGGCACTTCATATTTTTTTCTTGTAAAAGCAATTACTTTTTATATACAGATGATAATGGTAAACTGTTTTCTTCTGCTAATACAAATATAAGATTGTTGAGCTGAGATTGATATTGAGATTGCTGCTTATAAATTTGCATGATTGAACCAATACTGATGGTAGCAGGATATTCTGCATCATAATTATGTTAAGCCCTTTTAAACACCAAACCCTTCCTGTTTTAAATCCTTTTTTACCCATTGTCTGAGGAAGCGGACCTGTCAAGGAAAAAAAAGTGCCTGATTGTGAGTCTGACACATCCTGTTGCAGTAATTTACAGGCTAATTTACCATGACACCCTCCTTCCAGATGGCAAAGGTCCAGCCTCCCACGGTCAGGATGATGTCTTTGAAAAAGGGGGACCGCCTCACACTATTGATGAACCCATCGTGTACGAGAAAACAATGAGAGGGCTTGGTACCTGAGAACAGAGTCGTAATGCAGAGGGAAAAAGAATAGGGATTAAATTAATTTAGTACCTTGCATGAAAAGCCGCTGAGATATTTTGTCAATAAATATTTTGTATGCAACCAAGAAGTTTTACAATTTTCAGCACAGTAGTCAAATTCTTTACTATAATTAATGGTGCCCAAAATCCCTCATATAATTACAAACATTCATTTCCCTAAATAGCTGACTGTTATTATGATTAAACATTTGAAGTAAATTATTCCTTTATTTAAGCTTTGTTTACAGAGATCGTTGCAATCGCGGTTAACCTCAATCCTGAGTAATCTGATGTTAGGTTTGCGAAAGAGAATAACTATTGTTATGGTGTTCATAAAAAAACAAGAAACTATTATCTGATATTTCTGTGGCAACAGCTTAAAGGCCAACCATTATTTGTGAATTTGGCAACTTTTTGTGGGTTCCTTTGTTTATTGTGGAAATAAATGTAAATAAAACTTTTTATTCTTTACTTATACTTCATTAAGTTAAAAAATGACCAATTCACAGCAATAGTGGGAACTCAAGCATTATTACAACTAAAACAGACTGACGGGAAAGAAAACATTCTTGTAGAAATGTTAAGCATTACTTACTAAGGAGTCTCCCAGAGTCATTATCCTTTTCCATCTTCCAATCTGTGTATACAACTTCACCGTCCTAAATTTCAGCCCAAAAATGTTTAGAATCTTTATAGTTCGTTATTAAAAGATTTCCATAAGGGTCTGGGTTGGACTGGAACTCTAGATGAAACTTAATTTAAAATCAAATGGCAAAGACCAAGCCTACCTGGGTTCCAATGTAGAACCTGGTGCTGATGTCCTCTAGTGGTTTAAGTTGTTTGGCTGAAGAAGCTCTGAGGAGAGCATACTCAGTTCCTCCCTCAGACTTCTCCAGGTTCTGTTCAGAGGTTTCTTATTAAGGGAAATTCAAAAGACAAAAACAAACCAAAACACCAAACAAAGAAAACAAACAAACAAACAAACAAACAAAACACTGATTAATTGAATGATCAAATTACTCTGCAAAACATTCATTAGAGGTTAAATTTGACATTTACTAACTATATCAAATTTAACCATGAAATAATGTAGAATAATTACTTCAGGTGGATATTTCTATAGCTCAGAATGGACTAAATGGACTTAAAAGTCAAATGTTTAGTGCAACCTTTCTGATTAACAGGAACACCAAAGACCAGAAAGACTAAGTCACAGACAGGGGGTAGGAATGCAGTGGTATTCATAAGGATCCTGTGCTGAGCCTGGGGTCACAGTTAATTGTGTTCTCAGAAGTTATCCCTCTTCCTATGCTCTGTAGCCCCACCAGGCATTTACACAGTGAAATGAAGAGAGGCATATTGCTCACCAGTGCTGCCACCTGTCTGGTTGTCATTTATATTGTCCCTCAGGCTGAATTTCAAAGGACTATATTCAGCACCAGTGCCTTTTTTTGGAAGTGCAACCTAATGAAGAGAAAATGGGGGGGGGGAAAAATACACATGGACATTCAACCATGTTAATGATATTTTCCCATATGATTCGTAATGTAATTCTTTCATGCATACGGCGATGACTAAACAATGTACCTTGATGAAAGGCTTCCAGGATAGGTCTAGGTGTTTAAATGTATTGGGAACGTCACTTCGATTTAGGTGAGGGGTCTCTGTCACTTTGGGCTTTCTCTCAGTCAGAGAATGCGTTGTAACCCTTGGCAAGCGAATGTCCCAGAACATCACACAACTGGTCAAGCATGTGAACATGTAGACAAACAAAAGGATAACAGGTGTAAAGTCACATATGTTTGTAGTCAAATTAAAGCGGAAAACTTAGAAGTTACATAATGCTAAAACGGGAGCGGGTGGAGAATGCAGTACCAATCAGGCGCACAGGTGATGACCTGGACACAGATATGAGCCTTGTTTTCCACAGGAATCCCTGCTTTGGAGATCTATGTGTAGAACAAGAGATATGTAAAGGAATAACACGTTCATGTTTTTAGTACGAAAATCAGGACTAGCTATTTTGATCAGTATCGTGTACTTTTATAGAAAAAAATCATGAAAAACTTTTTGGAATTTTGTGTGCATTATGTGAAATGAATTTCATACCAAACTGGTGTATTTATATGTAACACGTCCATTTTGAGAGCCTCAAACCTCAAAGTTCTCCGGTAACCACTGTACGTCGGTGATTCGTGCCTTGTGCCCATTCTCCACGCCTGAGACAGCACAGTACCGCACAACAGGAGTGTTGAGTTCTCTCTTATCCTGGAAGGCCGGCTGCGAGGCCAAACAAAGAGGGATTATCGCCAAAGGACAGTCCTCCGCATATCATTCACAAGGATGTGTGTGAAAGGACAGAACAACTGGATAAAATTACATTCATACTACTGTGCGTTACAAACAGGGCATGTTAAATTATAGCAGTAATTTTTCATTTATAATATATTAAATCAATAACCCCTGTGACCCCGACAAGAATAAGCAGACATAAGATAGACTGATGGAAATCAATACACTTTCAAAATCAATAATTACGTACATCCTATGTAACTTTTTATGTAAAAAAAAATGTATGTAAAATTTTGTAATACATTGTATATACCAGTACATTGAATATATCCTAATAAGCATATGTACATTTGCTGTAAAATACCAACAATTCAGAACAGAAAACTCTTTACATTGTTTCACTGGGATACAACTGTTAACAAATATACACTAAGGGTTAAGACAAAACTATGTATGATAGTTTTCACGCGTCCAACCAAAATACAATAAATTTTGCATAAAGTAGTAAGCTTAGAGGATTCCTGGTCCTGCTGTATTTACATCAGAGAATTCTGAACAGAGCAATAACAATTAGAAAATGGTTTGTGACAGTGAAGTTGTATACTGTACCATGATGAAATATCACAAGGTTGTGATGTCCAGTTTATTTTAAATGAGCCGCATACGTCTCCCACAAATAGCAGAAAAGCGTGGCCTTTGACACTGGATACTCACTAAAGCACATTCATTTGCTGAGGTAGCCTTCCCCGCTGCAGATCGAGTGCCTTGCAGTCTGTCTGCATGAGCAGAGACATCCCATAACACAACCTGGGACAGTGAACAATTAACAATTACAATGAATTTTTGTAGGCAATCCAATAAAAATAAACACTGGGAAAATAAAACAACAACGTAAAACTCGGGTACGAGTTTAAAACATTAATCAAGGTATTACCTGGCCATTCATGCAACCGCCAACAATTATGTTGGGATTCGAAGGACAAAACTGAAAGGAGAGTACATCATCTGGGCACTCCAACAATAGCTGCAACAGAAATGGCCATCGGCCGTTGACATAGGATAAAAGTTAAAAACAGCAGTCACTTCAAATAAATGGCAATGCGAAAAACTGAATAATCCTTAGTAGCATTTTTCCGTGACCTCTGCCAAAGACACCACAACACCACACCCTCATAAGGTTGTGGACACCTCCCGACAAGAGCTCCCCGGGGCTAGGTTTACGGATGACTGCTGTTTTCCTGTCAATCATCACTGCAGGCAGCATTAGGTATCAGCCCTATGTCCACGACACACTAATGTTCCATTCCAGGCCTCACATTGACTATAGGTCTCATTCTGAAAGAAACTATCAATTTAATGTTTCATCACCACCAGTCAGTCTGATGAATACCGAGGAACTGTGCTCGGTACGGTCTTAGGCAGTCAAAGAAAATGACATTTAAATGATTTAAATGACCTTCTTGTTGATGTAGACCTATGATATCTGTTTAAGTGTATCAACTTAGCCACTTAAAAACCTCCTAAAATTATTCCAGTGTTTGCAGCACCCATCCAATACACCCATTAACCCCCTATGCTTAATCAATACACCATTGACTTTTTCAAACTAATTCAATTAATGAATTAAGTGAGCTGGTGGCGAAATTGAACAAATGCATGGAATGGCTGGGGTGCTCCTGAGGAGAGGTTAGGGAACTGAAGCGGTGTTCATCTAGCCATCCAATAGAAGTCAGTAACTTTCTGAAGAACAGAAGAAACTCCGGTTAGGCTTTTATTGTTACTGTGAATTTGCATTTGTTTTAATGTTAAATTGTGTTTTTTTGTTCTGGAGCAAATACACATTAATTACCCAGATACATAATTTTAAACATTCCCTTTGACTACCTAAGACATTTGCGTGGCACTGTATATCCCTGCTGAGCAGTCATCCATTCCCAATGACGTACGTATGTCTTCCTGCATAAATGACAACATTTTGGGTGTCGACTCCAAAGACCAACTAATCTCTTATTATATAACCAAAACATTCGGATCAGGAAAATAAGTGGACAGACTTTCTTACAGCTAACTTTACAAAGCTCGTTTGGCTGGTCTGCCAACTTCTATTCATGTTTCTTTGCCCTCACAGAACTATGTGATATAGTGGTCTGTACTCTTAAACAACTGCAGAATATACATTTGCAGCACCAACATTAATTAAAATATTAACAATGCATTCTAACTGAGATATCTGTGTGTAAAATGTCAAGTAAAACAGTTAAAATGTATATTTTATACAATACACCTATTATTTGAAATTTAATTTAATTATAAACCCTAATTCTTATCCCTGGACAAACATCATCCACGAGAAAATATTGCATGTAAAAGCACTGTAGCATATAGCTCAGAAGCATATCAATTGATTTTCTAATAATCAATAAAGATGAAAACAGTACTTGAATGATCCCAAAGGTTAAACCTCTCAAAGTGGGTTTATATATTGGGATGCAATGAAAGAGGATTAAAACACACCTGGGGGTTAATAGGATCAGAGAAGCTCCAGAAGAAAATGAGCGGAGGGTTTTGAAGCAGCTTAGCGGAGCCATTGATCTTTCCTTCAGAGGATAGCTTCTCCATTACAGAGACTGCAATCAGCCCTATCAGAGCCACATCACAGAAACCAAGACAGAGACGAGGGCATATGGCTTTTTGTGGTTTTCATGTTGTGGTTTTCACGTTGCACTAAATCATCTTCTTAACATTATAAATAAATCTTGAACACGTTCACACATCATTGCTAGCTTAATTCTACTTTTATTATGTTTTTAATATCTTAGCATAGCTCATGCCGTATTGCAATTCACAGGATGGTTTTTTTAAGATGTTTTCCCTCAGGTGCCTTGGTAACTAGAGAAACATCTTTGTCATGTCAAGTATTTCACTGCTATTCACTCTTTCTTTCAGTTATGGATTCATGAGATGCACAACCTCCCACTGCTGAATGACAACTATGAGTGAAATGGGGTGTGGTCTCACCATTAATAGTAGGGTGCCAGTTGATATCGCTGATTGTCTTCTCTTTGGTGAAGTGTAAGTCTGTGAAGGATTGGTATTCCTTCAGGTGAGTTTCAACTTTCCCACCAAAGATGCCATCCTCCTCATGAAGTGCTTGCCAGTCATTGAAAAACACATCAAAAATCATGTTTTGCTGAGCAGCAACCTCAAATCTGTGAGGAAGAAGAGAAAAACACTGACAAATAGCTGTCATGGAAGGTCAGGTATGGAGACATTCAAACGAGGAGACCCACACAATGGCAAGATGGATGCTATTGCATTACGTTTTATGATGTTGTTGTTGTATGTTTTTTTTTTTTTTAATAATTTAGATATTCCCATGAAATAAGAAGAGTATAGTTAGATGTAAAGCCAAACCAATCAGCAATGAGTAATGAAATGAGTACCTCGAAACAACAGAATTAACAAAATTCCTAAAGTTCTCAGAGTTCGCAATGTTTTCTTTTTCTTCTTCTGTAAATTCTCTGAACTCGTACTGTGAACACATATTTCTTGGGTATGTCCTAGAAGAACGCATTTCATATATCAGTCCACCATGACTAGATTTTTAAAATCTCAAAAAACGTCATCAAGAATGCAATGCTGATTATATCTGAATATATCGTTTTTTGTTTTTTTTTACATTTTTATAAGATTTATTAACACATTTGAGGATAACTCTTCATGAGGAATGAGCACGTACCATCGTGTTTGTGTACTAATACTCCTCAAGGTGGGAACAGCTTGTACCCCCGTAGTTATTTCCATCCGTTCAATGCTAAACTTTCTGTCGTCGTAGGAGGTACATTCTGTGTACTTATCCTTTGATTCCTGGGCATTACAGTCAGTAAACGTCACTGGAGCTCCAAATTTCCGTCGCACCCGTGAGATCCTGTACTTCAGCTGAGAAGGAAGGAATATAGATCTCAGGTGAAAATCTCTCCCAGACAGGGCTTCTTAATTCAAAGAGAGATGTGACTGGATTTTTCAAGTGTTCTACGTACATTTTTTTCTCTGGATTTTTTTGGGATTTATTATATTCATTTATTTAATCTTCTGCAAAGTGCCAGTGCATTTGTTCAAAAATGAAAGTACTTAGATTTTATACTATATTAAAATGTTTACTTATCTTTAATCCTTAATAGCTTCTGGCATTTTCTAAGCAATTTCAGTTATCAAACATAATATAATTCCAGTCATAGATTGTGCATAGTCTACGACCTGGTACCATTTTAATCTTATAAAACATATCAATTTTCAATTTTCACATCATTCATATTTCATATAAATGCAGAGCATTTCTACCAATAAAATCTAAAATCAATGTCTATCTAGTGTTAAAAATGTCTCCAAAAAGCCACTCTATTTTGTTCACAAAATATAATTTTCTAAATTTTCATTGTTATTCATAATAAATTATATCACATTTTCTCCAGTTATAAAAAAACTACAGACAACCACAGGACAGTTGATAAAAAGACAAAAGTTTTTCACAAAAACTTGTGCTTTGGACATGGCGCATAAAAAGAAGCCTGAATCCTGACGTATCGTATATCAAAAGAACAGTACAGCTAATATGACCCTTAAATGTAACCCTTCACCTAGCCAGCCATTCACAGAGGAAGAGGGAGTCTGCATTCTTACTCTTGGTCTCGAGTCCCTCACAGATTCTTCCTCAATCTCCCGCTCACTTCCTAAGGAGACCCATGGCTGACACTCTGGTGTTTTGCATGGAGGTGAATCCAATGATGTCCCCTCTGCTGTGTCTTCTCTTGCAGACACAGGGGGCTGTAGGATACATGGAGACATGCAACTCCAAATAAAACAATATAATAATGTCTCCCAGGGTAAGTAAATGTACAGCTATTTATGGTTCTAAATAGTTTTAATTATTAAATAGAATAGCTTGCATTTATTTTGATATTTTATTTAAAATTATTCCAAATATGCTGAATAATAAATCTCGGTTGGCCTTTAAAACAAACACCAAACACACAGGAAGCCATTCTGTACCATCCTCGAAAATGAATATTTGACCCTTAGAATACCGTTAACATTTTACCATTAACATAAAAAACAGTGGAGAGTGAACAGTGTTGAAATAATGTCTTTTTGTCTTACCTCAAGGATTCGTTTTTTAGATTCTTCAGTCAAAACAAGATAGAAGTTCTGTCCACATGTGAAATCTCTGTCAAACATCAGAAGAAGTTCTTCCCCAGGATAGTTCTGGAGATATTTTTACAAGAAGAAAACAACCCAAAGAAAATAATTACATTCACAGAGAATATGACACATTAAACAACATCAGACTCGTGTAACAGGCTGGGTGTGCCACCGGCCTCGGGTCCTTTGCTCAATTAGCAGTTGGAAAATGGATGAAAATTTTCCAAAAACATTTCAGTGCAACACAGAACCACATTCTGCATCTACCAAACACACCAAACAAGACTGAACATACCATAATTTGATAAATTTTAGGCGAAACACAAGAATAAATAGTGCTGTGGTGCTACGTCTTTTCTCCATATCAAAAAAGGAACAAACATGGATCCCAAAAACACAGTTTGCCAGAAACACATTGTAATTTGGATTAAGCTCCTCACAAGCACAGTCTGCTTTATGGGATGGAAGTCAGAGACGGCAGCTCTCGTCTTCATATCTTTGAGGATCTCCTCTTTCCTGAGGATTTTGTAAGGGCTTTCCCGTGTGACATCCTTATCGACACGACACTCAAAAAGCTCCTGGGTCCCCGAAGTCAGAACCAAAGGGAAGATGTCATCAGGCAGACCTGGTGGAATACTGCCTGTCAGACACTGAATGCACAAAGATGTGGCACTAATGCCAACAATGCAGGATAAAGCTTTTTACAATGAACATTGCTTTTCTGAGTGGAGAAATCAGGCTTGACAAATATGAGTGCTTTTTGAAAAACCGGGCATGTCATTGTCTTCAATACAACAATAAAGGCAAAATAGTGAGCCAATATGCATGCTATATGTTTTTTTTATATTTCATTAATCTTTTGCATTTTATTTTTAGGGTGTGAAATCCTTCTCACAGTGCTGCTGCATGTTAAACCATTTTAAACCGGATTCAAATTGGGTTAAAGGCGTTCTTACCACATCCAATATCAGAATCTCTATAGTGTGATTTTTTACAATTTCTCAGCATATCTGAAAATAGGTTTTTGAAAAGAATATGTTTAAAGTTGATTTTAACAAAAAATATAATAACATTCTAAGTGGTCTCAGATTATTGGTGCTGAGTTTGTGCTGAGTAAAAGCAAATGTAACACTTTGGGATAAATGTTTTTTAGATAGGTGAAATATTTTAAAATGTCAAGGCATGTCAGACTCCCCCGAAAGTGGCTGAGAGGCCTCAGACTGCAGAGGGTTTAAGAAACTCAGCAAACCAGACTACATGATGTATATTACATATTGTATAGAAACCTAAAATCACACCTATTGCATAAATTAGATGTGTTGGTTCTGTGTTGGGTTATCTATGCATAAGTCTTACTAACGACTTAAAAATACAGTACATTTTTAATCTTACCAAGTTCCGTTGAGCTCCCAGCTGAATCGGCAGAATCGTTCTTTTTATCTAAAACATATATCCAGAAAACAGGTACTTAAAAAAATATTTCATGAGCACTGTAAAAATATGTAATAATAGTTTTTCAAATAAGTTTATAAGTGAATATGTGAACATGCATTATTTATGTATTTTATGGGAAATTATAAGAAAAGCACGATTTGCAATTCATGCCGCCTGGATCCGTCACTCTACCGCTGACTTTACCTCCAGTACTCTTGGGTCGTTTAGAAGCCATCATGCAGTGAATCAGAAGAATCTTTCAGCGGCTGAAACCATTTAAAACCATTTAAAGAATCAAACTTTAGACCCACGGCACCATAAGTTTCATACACAAATACACAGATAGATTAGCCCAATATGTATAAGTATACATACTGTAGGCATACGGTAGTTTTCTAATTTCGCGAGATACTTTGACATACAGCGACACCTTGTGTATAGTAATGTTACTATCATTTAGACTAGAGTAACATTACAGGTTCCATATTGCTGTTTAACTGCGCTCTGATAAATGAGGTACTATGTACTTTTTACAGATACAATATTAATTAAATTACAATACATAAACAACACAAAAATGTAAATTTGAATAATTAAATAATAAAGAAAATACACTAATAACTATTTAGATTCCAGAAGGATAAGCGGTTTAGAAAATGGATGGATGGATTTATATTACATTATTCCCACTTTGAACAGGTGCGACTAGAACAGCAGTTAATATCTGTAGACATCAGCAGCACCAAAAAACGACAGGATATGGGATCCGTGGGGTTTTGAGTATCGATGAACTTTATTAGCATACGATGCAACTCGATCGGCTTCTCGTTCGTTTAAAGTTTACTAAAAAAATACTCCATTATTATTATTATTATTATTATTAATAATAAATATACGTATCCATTTAACTATGCATATCATTGCGCTAACTTTTTTTTTCAAAACTACCATTTTAAGCTGGGTGATTATCACAAGTTATCACTTTATAATAAGCTGAAACACAGTTATATTACGACATATATACCATATATATACCAGGATGCCAAGAACCAACCTTTTCAAACGTGGACAGATTAATCGCCCTTCGTTTTGTACATCTATTTAAGTTTTTTTTTTTACTACTTCCTGGCGTCAACAATGTTGCTAGTAGTTACGAAGATTTGGGCTGATGGACAGCTTAGTTAGCCTATCAGCACGAAGATTACGGATAGGAATCGCAATGATTGGTCCGCTGCTTCTTTCGCGCAAAGCTACCAAGCAGTCATGTCGCAGGTCATTTGTCTAATTTGCGTGTGTGTTTTGTGATGCGCTGGTGGCTCTTACAGGGTTCATCCCAGCTTTGTGTCCTATACTGCCTAAGATCTGCTCTGGGGCCCCTGTAATTCCAAAGTTAGTTAGAAGATGGGTGGGTGATGATGAGACTCTAAGGCACTGCCTTGTGTCAGAATATGAGCCTCAACGACAGTCATAGTAACAACTCATTTTTACTGTACATTCAAGGTCTTTAAAGTTAAACTTTAATATTTTTGAGGGTTTCATAAACTACTGCAGGCCTACCCTATAACATAAACCAGTGATTACTGTAAAGATGGACTTTGAACAACTAAAGAGTTCTTGGGAGGCTTGGAGATAGGTGTCATTTTCACTGTAAGAGACGGACGAGGCAAGACGCACTGCAGCCTATGCGTCAGTAAACACCATGGACGACCACTGTCTGAACTGGGACCAGGCTGCTGTTGAAGCTTTTAGGTGGAAACTGAAATACTTTTTCATGAACCCTTGTGAGAAATACAGAGCCCGGGGACGAAAACCTTGGAAACTCACACTGCAGATTCTTAAAATCGCCATCACTACAATTCAGGTGGGAAGTCCGTAGAATGCGCTGATATTACATTTATAGTGTGGTTTTATGTATTGTTTAAGATACACAACTGGTATAGAAGGTGCAGTTGGTTGTTGGTTATATAGAATATGACGGCTTAATGTTAAGTGTGAGTGTATGAGTGTACGTCCTGCGACGGACTGGATGTTTTCCAGGGTTTACCCCTGCCTAGTGCATTTCGATGTCTGGGAAAGGCTCCAAGCCTCCCCACAACCATGTGTGGATAAGTGGTTAGAAGATTTATGTATAAATATACAATTTTTTCTTTTAATCCAGTTGGTCTCATTTGGACTCAGTAATGAGATGGTGGTCACCTTCAAAGAGGAGAATTTGGTGTCCTTCAAACATATTTTCCTTAAAGGATATTCTGACCGAATCACTGACACTTACACAGTGTATACAAAGGATGATGTCTACGACCACATCTTATTTATAGCAGATCAGGTATGTAGAGAACACATGCAAACAAAGGGGCACGCGTGCGCACACACACACACACACACACGCACACACACACACACACGCACACACACACACACACACACACAGAGAGAGAGAGAGAGAGAGAGACAGGTATGTCCCCACAATGTGATGAATACCCATTTTTTTTACCTTATGGGGACCAGTTTCCTAAAAATGGAAAAACTCTTGTATTTTGTTTGGCTACTTATGGTTATGGTTAGGGCTGGGTTAGCATTTTTCCCATAGAAATGAATGAGCGGTCCCCAAAAAGATATGATTACACGACTGTTTGTGTGTGTGTGTGTGTGTGTGTGTGTGTGAGAGAGAGAGAGAGAGAGAGAGAGAAAGAGAGAGCAGGTATACCTTACTAATTTCCTGGTCCCCATAAGGGAAAACTATTTTATAAAAATCCGTGACTGCAATGAAAAAACTAAAATGCAAAAACTCTTGTACTTTGTTTGGTTACTTATGGTTACTTATGGTTTTAAATTTTGTTGTCATGTGTTATTTCGGGTAATACACTTACTTTGATATTCTGTATTATTCAATCATATGCCAATATGGAAGACTTGCATTACCTTCTCAGCTCTACATTGTGCAGAATATGCACTGAAGAAATTAAACGTAATGAGTATTAAAATCGAGCAGGATGAATTAGTCATTTATAACGGGAAGTTTTTTCTCTGCTCCATGATTTTTCCATTCCAATCTATATTATAAAGTTACAGTCAATAAAGCTGAATATGGGAATGCCTGACTAACATAATGAAATATTCACATATTACATAGGCATATAGATTCTATGCATATGAGTGTATAATATATTCTTTTTAAAATTAGTTTTAGCGGGTTGCTGGTGGAAGGGTTGCCTCACCTTCATCCAGCTACTAACAATACTTCTCAAATACAGATAACTGCCAGGAACATAGAACATTACTGGTTGACTCTAATTTTAATGTAATTATTTCGAATATAATTGATATTGATATTGTTCATTGATACAATAAACGCATGCCATTGTATCCTCTTTACAGTATATGAACTTGCCTAACATCACAGTTGGAAACCACGCTTATGATAAAAATGAAGGAATCTATGCACCACTGTCCGTTTGCCAGGATTTTTATAGAAATGCTAACATTTCGTCTGAAAATGAAACGTTTGACATCGATACGAAAATTGAAACAGGTAAAAAAAATATGTAATAAAATTATCAAGGACCAGGTAAGAAAAAAGTTACTCATGAATCAGGCTAGACAAATATATGTGCTGTTTTTTTGTAAACGCTGACGCCTCAGCAACATTTAAAATCGACGCTTCCACATCACGGGGGTTAGGGGCGCAGCCCCTGGCACTTCAGAAAAACCGCATAGGATGTCCAGAGCACGAGATATGAGAAACATATGAGAAACGCGAGGAACAAAGATCACGGCAAGATATCACATGCGAGGCTGCTCTAAACACGCTTGGTGTCCTACAAACCAGCTTCGCACGTATATTGTGTCCATGTATGAGTCACTTAATGTTATGTGTGTCATCTGCTGGACTTCACAAAATTACCAAAAAAAAAAAATCCCAATTAATTTCTTATGCCGACCCGATATATCAAAACCGCCATGAGGAATTCGCAATGCGACCTTCACAGACAGGTTCCTATTTCAGTTTTGAAGTAAATGCACAGTTTGATAGTTGAATTGTGATGTCTGTTTTATAAAGGTGTTTGTATGATTTGTTTTCAACAGAATGTGCTAAAGTTTATCCAGGAAAGCCTCCAGCAGAAGACATACTGGAAGAATTCCTGAAGAATTTAACTTTGAATTTTAAAAGGTGCTTTTTTTAATATTAAATTGAAAGCTCTGGGAATGCCATTTTAGTTCAGATGAAATATAATGCAAACAGGCTTATATGTAACTGTTTGCTAAATGCATCATTTGCATAAATGAATGCATAAACATTTCACAAGTTGTCACAACTTAGCAGTTATACTATAAAAAAATAGACTCATCCATCAGACCTGCATTAGTTTAGCAGTAACGTTCTTCTGAATTCCAGGCTTCGGTCTGTCAATATTAACTTTACTCTGAAGGCCATAAATCTACAGACCATCGAGCATCACGAGCTTCCTGACTGCTACAACTTTATTGTCATGGTAGGTCATGTTACTTGAATATACCTCGTGGGTCACAAGTAGTGATGCACTGTAAACATCATTAAAGAAAGGAAAAAAGTGAGGCTTCATTTAACTTCAAATACAGTGATGATTACTTTTCCTTTGAAAGCTGTATTATCCTGTACTGCAAATTGTACATGAATCCCTTCCATAGAAAACTCTTGTCTCTTGGCTAATTCTAACAGATTACTTTCGACAGCAGAGCTCACAGCGGACAAATAAAAATTAATCTTAAGAATGATGTGGATATGTATCAGTGCAGAGACTGGAGTGTAAAAGGAATGTGTAAGTATTTTTCTTCTTTATTTTAAACTACACTAAGATATATGAACTTTGTTTATATGAAGATCTGTAATTTCCCTTAGTGTGTGATTGTGTGTTAGTGTCTGCACTGTGGACAGGCACCCAAGCCAGGGTGTCCCCTACTTTGTGCCAGATTCTTCTGGGATTTAGTTCCAGACTCACTGTAAACCCTACACTGGATAGATGGATGGATGGATGGATGGATGGATATTAGGACATGATGAAAATCACAAGCTACTGACATGTCTTTGACTAGAATACTCCCATTAATACCTTATTCTTTTTGTCAGTCATTTTGTTGTCCGTATTGCTGCAGTATTAACTGCCCCACCCTTGATTTTATATATGACTTACAGTGAAAATACTTTGTATCTGGCTTATTATTCAAGGTTAGGTTTTTGTTCTAACATTGAATACAGAGATTTAACGAATGTAAAGAATTTAAAGTCAGAGAATCCGGCCCATGTCATAAATAACATAACTATCAAACGATAATAAAGTTCAGACATGCAGTACCATTCAAACATTTTGGACACACCGAGCGGCCTACCGAGCAGAGCATCACATGACCCGGCCACCTGACCTAAACACAGCAGAAATGGTTTTGGAGGAGTTTGAACAGAGAGCGAAGGAAAAGCGGCCCATGAGTGCTAAGCATATATGTGGGACCTCCTTCAGGACAGCTGGAAGAGCATCCCAGGCGTAGAGGAGACCGTGGGGTCAGCCAGTCCCTGGAGCTTTTGGGGTTAAAGGCCTTTCTCAAGGGCCTGAGGGTGGGATCACTCTGCCCACCATGGGATTTGAACCTTCAACCTTCTGAGTCCCAACTCATAGACCTGGCTCCCCCAAACAAATTATTATTTTTTTTACTAATTTTTTGGCCAGTGCATAATTCCATATATGTTATTTTATAGTCTTGTTGTCTTTATAAATATTCTAAAGTATAGATAGTAGTATAAATAGACCTTTCTGTGGGTGGGTGTCTCCAAACTTCTGACTGCTACTGGTAGCTACACCAAGTACTATGCCGAACACCCAAGCCAGAATATTCTGGTTATCTGTACAACCTGCCACATTCATCACAGAACTGTTTCCTTCCCCTTTTGAAAGTCAAGCACTTCTTTTGCTGTCACATGTTCAGTGGTCTGGTGACTCAGTCATTCAGTCAGCCACTGACTAGCGTATGGTGTGGGTGGCGGACTTTGGCCTCACTACCCACTTCATTACATTGCATTACGTTATTCTACATGTTTTTTTTGCAAGCAGTTATATATATTATATTGTTAATCAGGAGTTCCCACTTTGCTCTGCTTTAAATGTAAAAAACGTGCTTAAACACTAGGGTTTGGCACAGTGCATTCATATATATGTATATGTTTTATTTAGCAGGGAGACACATCCAATACACATTAATCTTTGACTGCATAACCACTGTAGTATGTTTGGCCTCCCTGATTCTGTGTAGCCGTTCAATCATCAGTGGCATTCAGCTGCAATTTGTAAGTATACACAATGTATGAGTGGGACAAGCTTAATAACGATACTGCACATGTGCATTAACATATCCCACTAAATCATAGCTAATAAAAAAATTTTTGGAAATCATATATCATCATATTATATTGAGAGTGAATGATGTCTATTTTCATTTCATGCCAGGAGTGCCTGCATTTTTTCCGGACTTTCCTTGGAAAGAATGTGCCCTGGTCCGACCGGATGGAGTTCGTAAATGGATGGTATATACTGATCATTGTCAGTGATACTCTAACCATTGTTGGAACCATTCTGAAAATAGCAATTCAGACCAAGGTGCGGCCAAAGATAAGCACAGTATTACAGCATTTTACAGCATTTCTATTTCAGAAAGATCTGACGTTCTAGATTTTTTTTTATAGTTTTCAAATATTGAAAATTGCAGTTATTTAGCATTGAATTCAGTTTGGTAAAATTTTAATCATTTGATTAGAGCAAGACTCATTGTATGGTGTTTTTTTCCATTTTTATTTGCCATTTTATTTGTTATTATTGAGCCTTAGTCCATGGTAATTTTTCTACAGGGATTGATCATTATACTGCAATATAATCTTGTTTTCTATTTGCTGAAATGCTGTATTTCAGTACTTGCTGATCTATTGAACTATTTTTCAGCTTCATGTGATTGTATAATGAGATTCATTAGTCTTTAATTTGGCATCAGTTTATAAAATCAGTGTACTCCACATCCTAAATTGGGAACATATTTCTGTTTTTCATTTTAGAATTTAACAAGCTATGATGTCTGTAGTTTTCTGCTGGGGACGGCTACACTGTTTACCTGGGTCGGAGTCATTCGTTACTTAGGCTACTTTAGGAAATATAACGTAAGTGTCCCACATTTTGTAAAGTGACCAGTCTTTGAAATCCCTAATCCTAGATGAGTACTGTACTGCTTGGTGCTAAGGAAAATATCTTCACCATGAAATGCAAGATGACTGACATTAAAAATTAAAGATCATTACAGGTTTTTATACTGCATTCAATCATTGTAACCTTGATTTTCTTATTCTATGGATTAGCATTTGGGATGCAGCCACTCGGATCTTACATATTAGAGACTCAAGTTTGAGACATTACTTTGCATTATGCACTCAATAAATTACAATTACAATAAGCTCTATTTTAATATGTTTTTTTTTTACTTAATTTTGGAACTGTTCTCCAGATCCTTATCCTTACCTTGAGAGCGGCTTTTCCAAACGTGGTCCGTTTCTGCTGCTGTGCCTCCATGATCTACCTTGGTTACTGCTTCTGTGGTTGGATCGTGTTGGGACCTTATCATGAGAAAGTAAGCCTTCTATACATTCCAAAAGCAGAAATGTGCCTCATACTAAACCATGACAAAACACTGCTTTTCTAGTTCCGGACCATGAACACCGTGTCCGAGTGCCTGTTCTCCCTCATCAATGGGGATGACATGTTCACGACATTCAAGAACATGCAACAGAGGAGCACCCTTGTTTGGCTATTCAGCCGGCTATACCTCTACTCCTTTGTGACCATCTTCATCTACACAGTGCTCAGCCTATTCATCACTGTTATCACTGACACATACGAGACTATCAAGGTAACTTTTCATAACTTTTCATCTGTTGCTGATGTTGTTCAAAGTCATGTGATATCAACTGTAGCTACCCACCCAAACTTGGCCATCAGAGTTCCTCAGGATAGTCAAGAAAAGTTTCAAGACCATTTGTCCATGAATACTTTGACTAACTGCTGTCTTCACTGACTGTTCCATTGTTACGATCTCAGCTGACAATGATTGGTGCTCTTTCCTGGATTTTGAACTTATCTGGTCCAGTAGGATCCAAGTTTTTATGGTGTTTTGCCTAGATTTTATGTTCTATCTATGTTTTATATGCCTGTTGCTCCAATGCCAATTGGAGACTGAGCCTAGCAGCACAGGTGCCTAAATTAGCCCCCTGACTGCTGCATTCTGCCTCACTTGTGCATCACTTTGTACAAAAGCATTTAGCAAGTAAATAAATGTAAGTATAATATCTACATTCCAAACTCTCCCCCCCCCCCATACAGAAAAGCCAGCAAAGTGGTGTCCCTGAATCAGAACTTCATGCCTTCTTGGCAGATTGTAAAGACCTACCTAATTCAGGAATGTTCAAGCAAGAGGATGTATCATCTCCATGCCTTTCCTGTTGTTCTCGGTAAGTTGTGGAAGTCTGGATTGTAATTGCATAAATCCACAACCCTAATGTCACCTACAAACAATTTTTATGACTCTTTTATTCTTCACAGTAGATACCTATGCTCTCAGTTAAGACATCAGCATCTTAGTGAAACTAAAGCAATTTTAAATGGTGTGTACATTTAATGCCAGTCTGCAGTCCATTTTCAATAAACCAAAGTCTATTATAATATGTTACATTGTTGTGGGGGAAAAGTTATTCAGATAAATTTCCTGTCTTGTGCACTGAGTTGCAGTGTTGTATGAAGGTCTTCATATGCTCTTGTAATTCTATTTTTTTTTTCGAGACACCCAAGTATTTCAACTATGACATACGCAATAAATGTCCTGTTGCTATGAAAATTGCTTAAAAGTTTCCAGCTTGAAAGTTTTACATAAGAAGCTGCATTGTTTGATGCAGTTGTGCTTTTGTAACTTATTGTGCACCAAATGAGATAACAAGAGGCATTTGATCTCCCTATTTACACCAAATCTTGTAAATATAAATCATAAATTTAACTTGACAAGAATCTTGTTTTCTGTTCAAACAAGGAATAAACAGCTTATTTGGTTGTCTTGCAGGTTTTTCTTGATGTGGTAAAATACTCTCAAATATTATTTCATTCATTTAGTTTGATGTCAAATCCTGCTATGTGAAAGAACAATAATGAAACCCAAGCAAAGCACAATTTTTTTGTATTGGAAGCTTGTTTGCCATTGGTTCATCATTGATGATTTATTGTTATTTCTTGAATTCTAATTTTTCTTTGGACCACATGATTACAACAGCCATTTGTCTGAATCTGAAGGGGACAGAAAGCACAGTTAGAGGATGATTTCATTTAAAATGTGGCTGAGGAATTACTCCCTGCCTTTATTCATCTTGAAAACGTGGATCACAGAAAATTGCATGCTTTGTTCACCAAGTAAATGGCCAGTGGAGGAGCAGTTTCAGCCAAGTCGGGGTAATTTGGCTAGCTGTACAGTGTAATTGGTGGAGTTACATCACTGAGAGCCAAATCTTTACCGTACACAAAACATGCAGCTGAAAACAAGGGACACAACACATGAGAGCAGAGAATACAGGGATATAATTTAGGTATCCCTCGTCTGCCCAAAGAGTGCTCTTCAAAATGAATCACAGATGTCTTCTTCTGAAAGCTGCTACATACTCCATACAAACTTATTATGACTTAGAAACTGTCCTTGAAATTTTTGTGATGCTAGGTTGTGGAATTTAGCTAAGATAACAGTTATTGTGGGGGTGGTGAGTGGCTCTGTGAGTTAGGCCTCTCTGCCCATGAAACGCAGGTCACAAATTTAAATCTCATGTCTGGAACAGACCCTGCTCTCTCAACTGGATAAAAGTATCTACTTTGTACTATTACTACTGTAGATTTTCAATATGATATCAAGATTGCTTCCGTATTGATATTATGCACTTTTATTCCACTGGTAAATATTTTGTTCTCATTTCTGTTTTCATAGTTGTAGATTGTCCGTGAAAGATAACAATGACTGTTCCCCCGTTTTAAATAAAACAATGCCAGAGGGAGTCTGTTCATTTTGTCCTGGAGAAGGTACACAATTCATCAGTCTTCATGTGATTGTTTCCTTCTCACTGAGGCTAACCCACTGTGGTAGAAGCAATGAAATTAGTGGTCATGGAAATGACACACCATGTGATGTGCTGATTACAGGGAGAGGCAGGGTCGCTATGGGAAAATGTTTCTCCTTGTATGTAATGGCCTCACATGAATGAGTAGGTACCCATAAAGGCTGCAATACTGCAGCAACATTTGTGTGAACCATGCAAGTATGTTTTTCATTTGTTGTTTTGATTTTATATTTCTCATAAAAAACAACTTTCAATGAGATAAAATTGTTACTATACTGTGACAGAGTTACATTTAACTTTGAACTCTTAATATTCCATACTAACACAAGTTCTGCTTCATGACAAACTGTATTTTATGGATAAACTGTAGGACTTTTCAGATGAAAATGTTATCACTGACAGTTAAATAGACTAAAATGAATAATAATTATAAATTTAGATACAATGGGAAGGTTAGGGAGCAGGTTGGGGATCATGCACTGGTACAGTGTGTTGCTACACCCAACACACGATGAAACAAGGATCGCGGCTGGTGACCCCCCAGGCCGACGTGCAGTCCTGCCCCACCCTCCGGAAATTGCCATCTATTTGCCGCAGCCAGGTGTTACGTGGGCGTCCCCTTGGCCTGATCCAGCCACTTGGGTCCTCAGCAATGAGGGTCTTTCGAGCCAGATCACTGTCAGGGAAACGCGCCACATGGCCGTAGTGCCGTAACTGACACTCCCTCACAATGCAGGCAATGTCCCTCATTCGGGACTCCTCTAGCAACCACTCATTCGACACAAAGTCAAGCCAGCGGTACCCAAGGATCCTCCGAAGAGACATAGTACTGAAGGAGTCCAGTCTTAGTCTCAGGTCACTGGATAGCATCCATGTTTTGTAGCTATATAGCAAGACAGGGAGCACCAGGACTCTAAAGGCTTGGACCGCTGGCCTCTTTCAAAGATATTGGGAGCGCCATATTGGGAGGGCCACACACTCCTTTCCAGCGACTTCATGATACAATAGTTCAATGGTACAATTGGTAAATTTCTTTAAAATGTTTATCACGCAGACCCACTGAAAACTTTTGGAATCTTTACATGTGCGATATTATTAACATTAACCTTGCTGCATTTTTCATAAAGATTTAACAAATAGTAGTAAACCATAAAGGACAGGGTGCACTCTTTGATGCTACTATGTTACTCCCCTTTAAGGCAACTGAAAGTAAGACCTAATGAAAACACCCAACACTTAAAAAAAACCATCAATTTCAATAACATTCCGAACTCAGCAAGTAGCTATATTTTCCTCATGAATTAGAGCTGATTAGATGGTATCAGTTTAATTCCTTTGATTCTTTACTACTAGATATGCATGTGCTCATGGGCGCCGCTGAGTCTGATCACTTGGGGCTGTAGCCACAAAGTCAATCTTCCTTCAAAAAAAAAAAAACGACGTCAATCCCCAGGTAAACTTGACTTAGCCCCTGGTCTTTTCAATAGCTAGAAACTCTCCTGCTTATCTGTCTCCTATTTTTTGTAGACTTAAAACTGCACATCTAAGAAAGTGATCTTTGTTGATGGTGCAAATAAACACTTAAGAATGTAATGCCACAAATCCGGTTGAGGGTTATTGGAATGTACACACATGCAGTGAGCTGTTCACGCTACATGGGACGCAGAGTTATGAGAGACTACAGAGTCAACTCTTTAGTGCTGAACGGGTTTCAAAGTCACTTGTGCAAATAAAATGCATGTGTTGCTTTTCCCAAGATCCATGATCAAGATAAAATGCATTTTAAAACACAAAGTTTTGTAGATCTCCACCATAGTAGGTATTTTTTTTAGTACATTACAAAAGACTCCAGAAGATTTGTGGTTTTGATTCATGCTGTGTTTAATAACAAGTCCTTGAAGTCATCCTTGAATAAAATGCTTGTTTGTGCATTGTTTTGTGAAGTAACGCATAATATAAATTTTCCTTTAATAAATCTCATTCATGTTTATGGTTCATTGCGGAGGTGCAGTGGTTAGCACTGTTGCCTCATGTCTCTGGGACAAGTGTTCTGTGTGCGGAGTATGCATGTTCTCCCCGTGTTGTGTTCTCTGGGTACCCCACACAAACACTGTTTGTGTTTGTGTGCCCTGCCATAAAATGGTGTCCCATCCTGGGTGTGACCACTATTACACTTATTTCTAGTATATATGAAAATTAAATAGCTTCATACCTATTACACGTAAAACATACTGAAATAAATGAAGAGGGAAATTGCATCGATTCGTGCTTAGAAATATGATCCCGGAGACACTTACAAGAATTGCCTATGGAATCATCCTGTATGGCCAGTACAACCACCATAATGAAGGCCAAACTAAAGCTGTCTTTGTGTAAATTTGCCGATAGCTAACCTGAAACCCAAGTAACTGTCCCCTGGATTAACCAGTTCCCTTGCATTAACCAGTGAGAAGATCATGAGTGTAACAATTCTCGTTAAGCTGAGAATTCTAAAACAACTTGATTTCTAGTGGCAAAGAAGCACCATCTAATTAATCACACAATTACATGTACATGTAATTGTGTGATTACATGTAAACATTATTATTAAATAAACCCAATCTTTCAAGTAGATAAGATAAACACAAATCACGTTAATATTTTGGCACCAAGCATTTCATAATTTCAAACACCATTGGCATTCCAACCTGAATTTGATTATTTTCTTAAGTAGAACACTAATTTCTAGCATGTGCTGTTCAATGAAACTTAAAAAAAGCAATTGAAACAGATATCATTTGAGGTGTCTTGCTTCTATTTGTATTTATTAAGTTACGGTGACATTACACTGCATATCCTAACAGGAATCTAAGACACACAAGAAGGAGAGGATTTCTCGAAAGTGTTTGTCTTGTGCATTTACCATAATTCTCTAGCTTTTTGTAACAAACTATCATGTGTCCTGAAATAATCAGCAGACTACTTAATCAAAATAATTGCTAACACTTTAATTGACAGGACACGAATACTTAGTAATAACTCAGCTACTACTGAAGTACAAAAAATTAAGCAATCATGGGCAACTGGGCATACAGTTGCTTCTTGAGATAAAAGATGTGTCATTTCAATAATGATGAACAAATCTGAGATCAGTGTTTCACTTGTGTTATTCGTGATTCGTTCCTTCAGTAGGTCATAAAAGATTCAAAGAATTAACAGATACAGTATATAGTAACTGCTTGAGATAAAACCTGTTTAAAGTTCTGTCCACCTGTCTGTTTGCTTTTGAAAAACTCTTATATAATCTAAATCCATCCATATTCTGTAACTGCTTGTCCTATACAAATTTTCCCATATAAGAAGAAAAACATGAAAAAAAAGTTTTATCGATTTGCATTAAATGACTTGTAGTTCACCATTGCATTCATAATGATTCTCCAAAAGTTACGCTGGCACAAGCCTGTGTAATATTGATCTTATGTTAATTCAACATTAATGAATCATGATTAAGTCCCCCATACAGATGAGTTTCCATATTTGTTTGTATATGAAGTTAACATTAAACAAGAATCATTAACATTCATTGTCTATTTCCCTTCATGTTACTCTCCCGGGGTCTCTGTGGTAGTTCCTATTTGCAAACTTCCCAGTACAATTGTAAATAAAATAAAATAAAATAGGCATACTGTTTTACAGAAACAGGCACCCAGTGATGGAAACTGTGTTTTTTTTTCTTCTTGGGACCAAAACTGGGCATCGGCTTAAAATGTAAATAACAGCGAGAACAAGGTATTGGTCATAAATGACAGTAAAACATGCGCAGAGTAGCAGGAGCGGCACAGTCCGCTGGGTGCGCTTCTCTCTATCAGTCACGCACTTCGAAGTTCCGTCTAAGGCAATGGAGACGTAGCCAGTCCCAAACAGAACCTGAAAGACAGGAACTCAACACCGGAAAAAAATATTTATATGCGAAGTAAAGATAATTAATCAGGTAGGTTCTCTGATTTACGGTCATATAGCCTATTTGGTCGAGCTTTCGAAAGCGATACGTATATATCTATTCGTGACTGTATTCGACTGTATACGAATTTTATTTGCGTAACCCTGGTGGTGTAAAAAGATTGCCGAAGAAGCGATTCTCATGTTTTATTTGCGTATGTTTCTTTCTTTTACCTTTTCCATGTAAACTGTGAAACATACAGCGAAGTAGCAGCGGTCCACATTAGATAGTTTACAGAGATCATTTTTACATCCTTGTGAACTTTGTACTTGGCACCCAGTCCGACGTTTTATTCCCCACAGTCAGACACGTTTTCCAGGCAAACGACATGCAACTAAATTATATTATTAATAACCATTTACGATCTGTATCAAATCACGTTAAATATATTAAAGTAATATAATTCATCTTGTTTTCTGTATTTGTATATGCCATTCAAACTCGTATGGTAATGTGTGAAATCGGTGCATTCAATTTTGCAGATACACCGGTATGTACATCACAGTGAGAATTAATTTGCAATTAAATATTACAATATAGATAATTACGCTTTCTTCATATAATATTTTCTGTATTTCTCAGTCATCTTCTGTAGGATCTGATGCAAGATGAGCAACCAGACTGAATGCCACTTTGACCAGTCTATGGACTATTTCTACAAAAACAGAAACCAGACAGGAGACTGGGATTCTTCACAAGTTGTCCTTGTCCAGATCGTTGGATCAGTCTTTTGCTGTTTTATCCTTCTGTCCAACGCCATGGTCATTGCTGCTGTGATTACTAACAAGAGGTTTCATTATCCATTTTACTACCTGCTTGCCAACCTTGCAGCCTCGGACTTTCTCGCTGGTATAGCTTATGTCTACCTCATGTTCAACACAGGTGGAGTCTCTAGAAAGCTCACCATTCCCATGTATTTTGTTCGCCAAGCCTTGCTGGATACGAGCCTCTCAGCTTCCCTAGCTAACCTGCTGGTTATTGCACTGGAGCGCTACATATCAGTCCTGAACTGGAAGGTCCACAGTAACCTTACCAAGCGGCGAGTCACTCTACTCATCGTGCTGGTCTGGGCGCTCTCCATATTTATGGGTGCCGTTCCCAGCCTTGGCTGGAATTGTATCTGCAATCTGGACACATGCTCCACACTCGCCCCGATATACAGCAGGAGTTACCTGGTATTCTGGTCTGTGTCTAATCTGTTGCTGTTTCTAATTATGGTAGCAATCTACCTGAGGATTTACATTTATGTCAAGAGAAAAACTTCGGTTCTATCCAAACACACGAAAGGGTCTCTAAACCGCAAGAGGACGCCAATCAAGCTCATAAAGACTGTGATGCTGGTGCTAGGTGAGTCGCATTGTTACTTCTCCTGTTTGAAATGTACCCAGATGTAATCGTAGTTTTTAAAAGAGTATTTGTAACCCAGCACTTTCAGCAAGTATGGAGAAGTTGGGTTGGGGTCAAAAATTTTTCGAGTTTGGTGCAGGCACCTAGCTGGTTTGCAAGCAGCTATTATAGTATTGCACACATGACAATGAGAACACGCATCCACAAAAGAGAAATAATTCTATGGTGCAAGGAAAAATAAATAAATTCTGATCTCAGACAGGTACATCACTGATCTGTTCTTCTGGATTCTGTATGACTGCTGAGAACAGGATGAGTTTGAAAGTACTGTGTCAGTGTTATTGAGTGGAGATCAGGGTTTGAATGAATATTGTAAGAGTTTTGACTAACTATTATTTTTTTTTTGCTGAGGCTGGTCCAGGGTAATATGAAAAGCAATGCATGTGCAATGTAACTCACTTATCCATGAAATTAAACTAGCATCTTCATTTTTTTTTCTTTGGCACTGAAGAAATTCATTGCTCAAGAAGATATGAGATAAGTCATATAAGTTATGATTTAAAGTTATTTGATCAGTGTTATAGGTGGTCAGTATAGATTCAGTTGTGCTCTCAGTTTAAGATGCCCTGGGGTAGCTGTGTGAGTTGCAGAGAAAAGGCTCCACATCCCTACAGAGGGCCTGGTCTGCATCATTAGAAACTTCTGTGAAACTTTCAACAACGAAAGAAGTCAAACCTAGAAGTGCAGTATTTGTATAGTACAAATTTTCATATATAATAATAAACATTAAAAAAAATAAACAGACATGTTCTCATGGTATTCAATGTTCTGAAATGTACTGTGTGAACTCTTACATATTATTTTAGGGTATCCTGGAGTTTTAATAATAGTGCATGGGATTACGTCCTAAGGATGAAAAATATGTAACTTATAAGAATCCTATTAACCCTAAACATCTGTTAATTGCGAATTAAGGGATGAGTTCTGTTTAATCCCTTGTTGCATAAGATGTAACATGCAGTGAGAAATAAACCTGAAACTGTGCGAAAAAACAGGTCGAGTGACTTTTGTGAATAGGTTTTTTTTTTTCCCACATGCTCTGTCTTCCAAGTAGTAATTTTTTTCCTCATAGTTAAGTTTTAGTTGGGTGCACATGATAGATTAGCCCAAGATGAGTGGAACAACAATATGAGTATTAGTCCACGCCCTCATCATAGCAAATCTGTACAGGTTTGACGAGTTTGATTTGATGATATTAGCTGTCCTTAAGTTCTTATAAGTATTACTGTAAAGAGTTTAGAATGTACCTTTAAGAGCGGCATTCATTGTGTTTTGTTTAGTTTAGCGTTTAAGGGTCAGCTCAGATGTCTTGCATTCTGTGGCTGTGGCGTCTCTCTGGTGTGTCACCCGCAAGATAAGAGAAATATGAAGGAGCTGCCGTGGTACATTATTCATCTGAACCTGCAGTGTAATTTTCTAACACAAGGGTGGTGTTTACAAAGACAAGCTGGCAAACAGAAAATAGTAGGTGTATATTTGTGTGACTTCTTGTCTTGGGAGTAGGCAGTTTAGGTTGTCATTTGAGCTTTCCAAAAACTACATTTGATATGTCTCAAGATGGGATCCCTTTTTCAGTGCAATTTTTGTATCTGGAATAGCTTTCATTTACTAAACCAGTCCTGGCACAATTTTTGTGATATATGAAAAATTTTGTCTTTTTTTTCATCTTTTAAATTTGTGGGTGAAGCTCAATGGCAGAAGGTGGATCAAATTGTTTACCGCTTATCCACACTTTATTATTTTGAAGTGTACTCAGGCTTGTGCTTTAATTCATATTTGTGCACATAATACAGTTTCAGTCAGGTGGGTAATACCACAATCCTTTTGACATTTTAGAGACAAGTTTGCTTTGCTTTCAAGTTGATGTTGCATAGTTTATAATGATAGTAGATGAATTATTCTGAATGAAGTGAATGTTAAATTTTAATGAAAGTCTAAAAAGAAACCATAGCACGCATAATATCATTTTAGCTATATGCACCTATATGCTCTTCTTTCAGTTGCATCATAGGAGGTTAAAATGTGGGAGGTGTTCATGGGAGACGTTTAATTAAAACTTAAATGAATATGACATGGATGCTTTGTCACCGTATGATGTCATTTTTTTGCATACCATTTGCTGTTGTAATACATCTTGAATGAAACTCCTTGTGCCTTTGACCAAGGCCCATTTTAACAAGGATTAAATGAATCAGTGTGTCCACATTTTGGGGACATACTATGTGCCACAGGGGAGCTAATGAATACAGAGAGACATTGTCACTTGCAAAGTTGTCTCCAAGTGTACTTGAATTTCAACATAAAAAAAAACCTTTTCGGTGTCAATACAAATGTAGGTTGTGCTGTAAGGAAGGGAGTGTTTTTGCCTTTCACAGATCAGTCTTGTTTTCTTCCTGTGCAAATTGTGCACAGCAGACAGCCAAGCAGACAAGCTCCTACATGTGCTGTTTGAGTCAAAGTGTTTATCGTCTGTAGGCGGGTTTCTGTCTCTGCAGGTTTGGCTGCGGCAATAAGCAGCATGTTTGAAAAATGAATGGAACTAATACAGTACATTGTGACAAGTGAAACTGAATACAAGTTAATGCAGTCATTTGAATCTTTCTGTTATTTTATGTCTGTGTTTTTCTTCTTTCAGAGGGAATTTTCAGTGAAATACAGGTCATTGTATATTGTAAACATTATTTTATTCCTTATTGATACTTTTTCTGACTGAAATCCCTAGGAAAAACATCCGGGGTGGGGGTTGCTAGGGACATGTACAGCATTTGCTACTTTTTTATATCCTAAAGGTTCGAATCATTAGTGCCAGTACCGTAATATAATATAATCTTTAAACCTCGCACTGAAAATTGTTTCTACCATCCTATCTCTGAGTATCTCTCTATCAGCATGTCAACATGTGGTTGTGTCTTCTAGGAGCGTTTGTGGTCTGCTGGACCCCAGGGCTGGTGCTGCTTCTGTTGGACGGTCTGGACTGCGAAAAGTGTGGGGTGCTGTTCTTCAAACGCTGGTTGCTCCTCTTGGCCGTGCTCAATTCCGTCATGAATCCCATCATCTACTCCTACAAGGATGAGGAAATGTGGACGACTTTCAAGAATCTCCTGCGTTGCGTATGCAATGGGACCCGGAGGCAAAGGTCCTCTCGGGTTAACTCCCGGGCCCTGAGCTCCAAGGAGGAGCAAGGCAGCACTCCCTGCACCTCTGATGACAAGGTTTCCAGTAAGGAAATTCTCCAGGCATGAGTTCAACTCGCAACTGGTTTACAGGGAAGAAGAAGGGAATGTGACATGCAGATTGTTAGTGAGGACAAAGAGGTTCACAGTTCTGCAGGTGTTCAGTGTAATATTTAAATCTTACAAATCAGATGTAAGTGTCTAATTCAATATGTGTTGTTCTCGGTTTTCGGTTCAAATGAATAAAAGAGTTATATAAATTCTATTTTGATATCAAAATTTTGTACAGAATTTTACCTTTTTTATTACGTTTTTTTGACGCAGTAGATTTTGATCTTTGATTAATTCATTTTTAATTTCAATTGTTTTAATGTATTTTTGTTAAAAATGTCTTCTTTAGAAGAAACATAAACTACTGTTAGGTGCTAATGAATCTGTATCACTAAATTTGATAACGTTTAGTGCAGAAGGAAAATTCGAGTAGATTTAGCACCATGGAATACTCTGTATCAAAAACTGAACATTTCATTTAGTTATAATATTACATTAATGCTTTTTAAATCTTTTGATATCAGAATGCACTTTTTACTGTAAATAGATAAATAATTGTTGGATGATACTATTATCTAAATGACTGCCATGGTCAATCGTTTGTATAGACTGACATGTTTCAGAAGGCTAGGTTGCTGAATACACAAACAATAACTTTAACAATACTGACAAAAATGCCAGGTGATTTGATCACACTTCTCTTTGCCGGATATAGCACTGCAATGCTGAGTGAATTCAAGTCAATTTTGTAATTGGAAAATGGGGGGGCTTTTTTTCTTCAGTCTAAATTCCATATTGCTTTTCACTATATTGTTGTATTTTTCTTGATTTATCAGCATTCCATAATTGTATGTTATATTCAGATAGATATCAATTACCTGCTACACTGCAAGAATGAGAAGCCAAAGTTGATAGATATATATTTATGAATATTCCTAAAATAGTAATTGTTTGGTTATATAAATTTGAAACACATAATGGTAAATATATACATAATAAAGTGGACCTGTTGTCATGGTTTAGCGATAGCATGCACATTTGTCACTGTAAGCGCATGTGCTTGACAAGATGTTACAAATATATGAGGTTGAATCTTACGTGTAATTGTGATGTTTATCTTTGCGAGAATTTAGAAGTTTCTGATTTCTGCTGAGGTTTTTCTAAAACTAAGGCTGTGAAATGTATGATTCTGCCCTCCAGTGGATCTGCTGGAAATATTACTGCTAATCGCAGGAATTTAATGGCTTTATCCTCCTGAGACCCAAGGAAAAAAGTGTCCTTCAATTTTAGGTTATTTGTCTTTGGAGGAAATAAGACATTTTACAATTTTTATTTTTAATTTGACAGCATGTCCTCTTTAGTGTACAACAGGAATAAATATGTTTCCTTACATCAGTGAAAAGATAGATGCAAAAACAACATGTCCACTACAATGGACATAAATGAATGGGTGGGGTCTCAGGAGGTTATTACTCCTGGCTAAAACTATGTAATTATGAAATTTTCTCAGTGGATAATATTGTCATAATAATAATATGGTCTGTTTTCATGTGTATCGTCATTATGATTTTCCTATCGCAAACGGAGATTCCGTCTTTATTTTTTTTGACAATTCCATCTGTTAAACTTAATTATAAGCCAATCAGGAAGCTTTGTTTGAGGGGACACGAAGGCTCAGTCAGCAGCATTAGTGCTCTATACATCTAGCACTGCTGAATTTAATTCTGTGTGTATGAAATGTGCAGGTTCTTGCCTGTTCCTTTGGGTTTTCCCTGGATAGACTGGTTTTCCCCCACAGTCTCATGATGTTTGGTTTTGGCAGATTTATGTCTCTCTCACTTACTATGCAATTGGATGCTCCCTGTCCTATGCTTCCTATCTATGGTTCACTCTAACTCTGCATTGGATACATGGCTATGAGAAACGGATGGATGGATGGATGGATGGATGATAAACATTTCCTGAAAATGCTAATGTATTGGTATTGGTACTGGTGCTTTTTGATACCATGTTAGAATAGAATAGAATAGAATAGTGATACTTTATTAATGCCAGAGGGGAAATTTTCTTTTCACCTACTGCATCTTGGTCTCTATGAGACACACATGCAGGTAAGAGCAAGCATGGGGGTGACAGTGCAGGCATGGGGGTGACAGTGCAGGCATGGGGGGGTTCATAGTGCAGGCATGGGGGTCGTAGTGCAGGCATGGAGGTGACAGTGCAGGCATGGGGGTGACAGTGCAGGCATGGGGGTGACAGTGCAGGCATGGGGG